GCAGAATTATTTAGAAATAATCAATAGAGAGAAGACACTAGAATTAATGGGATCCGGAAAGGCTTTCTATGGAAGGTAGAATCTTAGCTGAGACTTGAAGGAAGCCAGGAGGTAGAGATTAGGAGAAAGAGTATTCTGGGTGTGGAGGACAACCAGTGAAAATGCCTAGAGAAGTATCTTTGTGAGGAATAATAAGAGCGGTGTTACTGGATCCCAGAATGAAGGTGAGATGGTGATGTAAAGTTTAGGAACACTAGAAAGGCAGTAGAGAACCAGGTTGTGAAACACTTTGCATATCAAAGGATTTGACATTTGATATTGAAAGTGATAGGGAGTTGCTGGAGTTTATTGATTTGGGAGAGTGACGTGGTCAGATTGTGCTTTAGGAAGATCACTTTGACAGCTGAGTGGAGGATGGACCAGAGTGAGAAGAGACTTACGATAAATGATAACAAAAAAGTTCAAAAAGAAATAAGCAGTATAGCTTTGAAAATAACGTGTTAAATTTATTTTGTACTAAAAAAGGAAACTACATAATAGAGATTCATGGTTTCACATTTAATCCATTCTTTAGTCCTACTTTATGAAAAAATTAGCATTAAATTCAGAATAAAAAATAAAATGGACCAATTGATTTCACAAGTATAAGGTGGAAAGGGTATGGTTAGAGAATAATCTCTTTGAAAAAGATGACTACGTTTTAGTGGATTGCAAAAGTCATGTAAATCAACACCACTGGGGCAGCCAAAAAAGCTAATGTGAGTTTGCACTGCTTTCAGAGATGCATGGTCCAAGAATACGCTGGGACTGCCACTTCAGCTCTACTCTAGTTAGACCACACGGAGAGTACAATGTGCACTGCTGGGCACTGCAGCTTAAGAAGGACATAGACAAGCCAGAGAGCCTTCAGAGAAAGGCAGCTGGGAAAGTGAAAGTCCTCGAGTCTATGACATATCAGGACTGGTTGAAGGAACTCTGAGTATGTTTAACATGGAAAAGACTGTAGGAGTACATGAGACCTGTCTTCAAGCATCAGAAAAGCTGTCACTTGGAAGAGGGATTAGACATGTTTTGTTTGGCTTCAGGGTACAGAGTTGTCTCACTTTTGTATCTTTATCCTCACTATGTAACACAATGCCTAAAGAAGTTGGTGCTTAAGAAATGTTGGTTGATTACTTTATTGAAAGCCAAAACAATAAGGCAAAAGTTGTGAAGGGGCAAATTTAGTCATGATGTCAGAAAACAGCAACAAATTTCTTAACAATTAGAGTTCGCCCAAAGTGGAATGAGCTGCATTGGGAGGTTGTGGGTTCCCCGTCATTAAAGGCTGTCAAGCAAGGGCTAGATAACCATTTCTCTGTTATTTTTAATAGAGAATCTCTTTCAGATATGGGTGGAACTAGATAATTGACTAAGGTCCCTTCCAACACTGAAATTCTATTTGTCTGTGATTTAGTATTTGAAGGGGGTGGCCAGGTATGCATGAGTGCCAGAAGATAGAGAGAATTTAACAGGAAAAAAATATGAAGAATTAGCTGATAAAAACTTTCTCTATATCCTTGTAAATCAAAATGCTACCACATTTCTGATCCTGTCTGGCTAAATTACCCAAGATGTGTATATCCCATAGGATAATGTAAAACTGTTTCCATGCTATTGTTTTGTTTTTGTTTTTTGCATCTGATTGATGTTCATCTGGGAATAATTACATAGTTGATAAACTTAAATGTTACTCTCCAAGGAAGAAGAAGAAATGTCTGTCAAAATACTATAAATATTTGCATATTATTTCATAAACAGATAATTTAACATTCACTTCTTAAATCTGGGTACTGAATGGAAACTCATTTTCATAAATGGTATATGATCTGAAGACACCAACCTCTTCTATTGAAGGTTCATATATTTTTGTATTCTTAAATTTAAATTGCTTATTCAGAGCATTAAGAAAGGAAAAATCCATCAGGAACTTGCAAAGTTATAAACAATGCTATTTAAGGACATTTTCCTGCATCAGTTAACTAGATGAACTCATGGGTCAGAAGCCCTGAAGTATGTGATAAGGCCACTAAGGATCATCTTAGAGACTCTGAATTAAATATTACCTTGATGTTTATGTCTGTCGAAATGGTTGGTTTGAAGTGATGAGACCAATTAGTGAATAGAACACTGATAATTGTAGAGTTGGAAGGAATGTCAGGAAGATCTCTAGTAGATCCTTCTTTGTAAGCAGGCAAATTCTTAAATAGTTCAAGACAAGACGATTGCTGATTCTATTTTATGAAATACCTAGGGATTGAGATTCCGTATTTTTTTTCTTAAAGGAAATTGTGGAATTTAATAATGCTAAACTTAACTACCTTAGAGAATAGCATCCCAAACTGGTCTTCCTAGTCATACTTTAAGCTTAGAAATTATGTGAGAGGTCTTTGAAAACTATCAATTCCCTTCTTTCTGCTATTATTATTTCAAAGTTTGGAATAGTATAGAATCATAGATTAAGAGCTAAAAGGCATCCTAGAGGTCATGTAGTCCAATCTTCTCATTTTACAGGTGAGTAAACTAATGCCCAGAGAGATGAAATAACTTGTCCAAGATATAATAAATGTCAGAGCTGGGACTTGAACTTATGTCCTCTGATTCCTGATCCAGCATTCTTCTCACTGAAACTGCATTCAGTGTCCCTGTCAACCTGTTTTCATTTAAGAATTTAAAAAAAAAATCACATCACTGTGTCTGGAGCCACTCTCTTCAGCAGTCAACAGTATACTGTGTGCCCAAAGTGCTTAATTAAGGCTGTAATGATGATAAATATACAAATAATACTTTCATTTGTACATATTTTATTACACTAAAATGTATTTTAGAGGTTTATGAAAACAGTATATTCTCTGAACTTCTTTGGCATCCTGTTTCAGAGAAGAGCCATCAGTTTGGCCTGCACTGATTGTGGTTGGCCATATGCCTTACCCACATTTCCACAGCAGGATTTACAATTAGAATATACCACAATAGAATATAGAAGCACGGAGCTGAACTGGACCTGAGATGATCTCTTCTAGCCCCCTGCCTTTAAGTGTATCTACGTCTAAACCTTTTGGAACAAATGTTTGTGAATTCTCATCTTAAATAGCTGTCAGCATAGAAACTATAGAATTAATGTCAAAACACACCATATATTAGTGAAAGCATCATCACTAATTTAGTATGTGATTTAGGAGCCTAGTTCATATTTTCTTATTTTATAGCTTGGTTTTGGTCAGAATGCCAATTCATTAAATTCTTTTGATCTTCTTTAGCTAATTTATCAGCAAGCCTTCTCCATCTTTTTTCAAAATGTCTGTAGGATTTTTCTGTTATTTTATTCATACTGCCATCACCCTTTCCTCCAAGTCTCTTCTCCTAATACAGAGCTTCATTACTTTATACATGGATTACTGCAGTAGCCCTCTTGCTTTATTTTTTTCTGATTCTAATTCTTCTTCCTTCTAATCTACTCTTAATATCACTTGTATATTAGTCTTCCTAAAGCTATCACTTTAATTATAGCACACACTTGGTTAAGAACTTTGACTATTAATTATTTTTTTTATTCTAAACTACACTACATAGTGTTCAATATCTTCATAATCTGCCCTTAACTATCCCTCTCCCCTTATTTTCCATCATTCCCATCCATTGACATTACTCTCTAGATGTTTTTCTCTACAGTGTTCTACCACTATTAGTATTACTCCTATTTCAAATGCTTTCCTTACAACAATCTTGTGAGGTGAATAGTATAGCTTTTATGTCCATTTTGTGGACGAGAATACTGAGGTTCAGTCTCACACGTAGTAAAGCAGGATTTGAACTGATATCTCATTATTCCAAGTCAAACCTGCTTTATACAACATTATGCTACCTGTCAACAACCACCACCACCACAATGGAAAGCATTTAGATAGCACCTGCTGTGTGCCAGGCACTGTGCTAAGTGCTTTACGAATATTATCTCATTTGATTCTGACAACTATCCTGAGAGGTAGTAATCATCCCATGTACATGCCATTCCTTATATTGTTCTCCTGGTCTATTGTTTTATAATTGCCTTTTAGTTTTATGTTTTCTTTTGCTTCTCCAATTGGATTGTAAGCTTCTTAAGTTTGTGGACAGTGTTCTCTATTTCTTTTATAATCCCTTCCCCCAGCCCCAACACATTTCATACTACCTACTGACTAGTACAGTGTTGGACAATTAATAGAACAAAACGAATGAATGAATGAAGGAAGGAATGAATGAATAAAAAGTAATTTTTGTCTGTACTTGAGCCTTTGTCTCTACTACTTAGGATGAGGCAAACTTCCTATTTGCCTCAATCCAGGATTCAAGCTTGCCAGAAGTTATATGGCAGTTATAAATTTTTGGCTCTCTTTGGATTTGTTTATTTTATGGACAAGCAAAGTACATCACTGGGACTTAATTCCTGAATTTCTCTAAGTTGTTGGAGAGATTATCATTGGTCATTGAGCAGGAGAGATGTGATGCTAGATAAGCACAAGAGAGTGTGCTTAGTGTTTGGCTGGCCTTGTGGAAGGAATATTGGTGCACTGGCAGTGGGTGTGCTTTGTACCCGGTATCTGGATTGCCTGTGGTGTGCCAAATAAGGAAGATTAATGTTCATCCTATTTATGGCTTTTCCATCAATATTCTGTTTGGCTAAAAATGGCAAGAGATTTCCATGTGACTGGAAATCACTATACCTTTCCTTTAATTGGTGAACCTTCCTTTCTTTAAAGCTGACTATAAATATTCTTGGGTTAGTCAAAGAGATTCCAGGTACCTGAATATTTTGATATATATTGGATATATAGTAGAATTATGAGTATTTTTTCAACATATTTGATAAGATTGATGATGTTCCATAGAATTCTAGACTAATGCTCGTATTTAATGCCTTAATAACATTTGATATTTGGATATGGAAGCTATGTTATTCATTATAGTTTTATTCATTTCAGTGTTCTGTCTGGCTATAATGGCACCATCTTTGCATATGGACAAACGGGCAGTGGCAAAACTTTCACTATTACTGGAGGAGCTGAGCGTTACAGTGACAGAGGCATCATTCCAAGGACCCTATCATACATTTTTGAGCAATTACAAAAGGTACAGAATTATGATTTCCATTTATCTTATGTATTTATAAGTAAATTTCTGAAGAAAGAAACTATATTATTGGTGAAATCGTATTATATTCCACCTGAAAAAGGAAATATTTAGTGTGACTAAAATTTTGTTCTGAAATAACAAGCATTACATTTACGGGAGATTTTACAGGGCCTTCCCTCTGTTAATTATTTCCTATTTATACTGTACATAGCTTGTACCTTACTTTTATATTATACATAGCTTGCTCTGTATATATTTGTTTGCATGGTATCTCCTCCGTTAGATTGTAAGCTCCTTGAGGGAAGAGGTTGTCTTTCGCCTCTTTTTGTGTTCTCAGCACTCAGCAAAATGCCTACCACAAACATTTTTTAATCGATTGATTCATTCATTTGTAATAGTCCTCTAGCAGAGGAATTCAGAACAAGAGCTATTCATTCAATGACTGCTCTTAGAATGAAGATTCAGGGGTAGCTCTTTCTTATAAGTTTAAAAAGTGCATTATATATTTACTAAAAAACTGCAGACTATTTGATCATTGTGAAAATCTTAAATATAATATACTAGTATAACTTTTCCCTCCCCTTCTCCAGATTACAATGCACACATTTTAGAGTAACCATTATATGAGCTGGGATCAACAAAAGCATTTTTACTGGAATATTCATTGTAGAGAAATTTTTGTAAACAAATCAACAGAACAATGTTCTATTTTTTCATCTAAAAAAGCATGAATAAATGCCTCTTAAAAGTAATGTTTTTAAAGCATTTAAAATGCCTACTATGTGATAATCCCTAAGCTAAGCACTGGGAATACAAAGAAAATAAATCTCTTTAAAGAGGTTATAGTATATTGAAGGAATGACAAATACACAGAAAAGTAAACACAAAAAAATGCAAAATAAATTCAAAGAATTTTTCTTGGAAGGGAAAGGCTTTGGCATCTGGTAGGATCAGGATGGACCTCCTCTAGGAGGTGGTAGTTGAATTGGGCTTTGTAAGACAGGGATTCTAAGAGATAAAAACAAAAAGGAATGAGTCATTCCAAGTAGGAGGGCTAAGCTGGGCAAAGGCTCAAAGACAAAAAATGGAATGCCATGTATTGGGAATGGTGAGTAAGGTGGATGGAATCATAGAATGTTAGGACCAATGTTGAATAAGCCCAGAAAGGTAGCAGAGAGACAGATTTTGAAGTGCCCTAGATGCCAAATGGAGGAATCAGTATTTATTAATGTTAGTTAAGAAGAAACCACAAATGTCT